TTGCAGTGAGCCAAGGTCGCACCACTGCACTCCAGCCTGGCGCCTGGCGATGGAGCAAGACTCTGTCTCAAAAAAAAAAAAAAAAAAAAAAAAAAAATAGTGGAGTTAATAGAATCAGCAGCAGATTGATTCAGCCATCTGCAGAGTGATCCATGCTCAGAGGGGCTTGGTGTAACTGATAGAGATAGGGTCATGTCACAAAAATCTATCTAGGGACCAGTGCTTCTGAAGCTAAAAATGATTGCCTCAGAGAATCCCAGGAAGTTGTAACCCAATCAAATGTGTGGTAACCTGAGGCAAAACTTAACTCGAGGAAGCTTCCCCAGAGCAGAGGAGAACTGCAGCTTATAGTGGTTTTTGTTGTTTTGTTGTTGCTGATGATTCTGGTTTTTTTTCTTTTTTTGGTAGAGGTTGGGGGTCTCACTCTGTTGCCCAGGCTAGTCTTGAACTCCTGGGCTCAAACGATCCTTCCACCTCAGCATCCCAAAGTGCTGGGATTTAAAGATGTGAGCCACACTGCAGCTGGCCATTGTGTAAAAACCGTCTTTTGATAACATTCTGAATTACTTGCCAGCATTCAAAAAATTGAGAGGTCTAACGTAAAGATTGAAATTTCCAACTTCTCTTTACAAATGACCAGATCTGGGCCCACCTTCTCACAGGGTACCTGTCCAGTAACACTGAGCTTCAGAGAGGGCATGAAGACCCGAGTTTGCCATGCGTCCACCACTCTCCATCGTCCCCCAGACATGGAGGCTGAGACTCAGTTGCCAGTTATGATGACACTTTTGCTACTGGATTCTTACACCAGGTCTGATTTATCTGGCTGTGTTGTCTTGTGGCCCCTGTAGACATAAGAATGAGGCTTCAGCCGGGCGCGGTGGCTCAAGCCTGTAATCCCAGCACTTTGGGAGGCCGAGATGGGTGGATCACGAGGTCAAGAGATCGAGACCATCCTGGTCAACATGGTGAAACTCTGTCTTTACTAAAAATACAAAAAATGAGCTGGGCATGGTGGCGCGTGCCTGTAATCCCAGCTACTCAGGAGGCTGAGGCAGGAGAATTGCCTGAACCCAGGAGGCGGAGGTTGCGGTGAGCCGAGATCGCGCCATTGCACTCCAGCCTGGGTAACAAGAGCGAAACTCCGTCTCAAAAAAACAAAACAAAACAAAACAAAACAAAAGAATGAGGCCTCAGCCACTGTCTAAGGCAGAGGGTGACATGATATGATCTCAGTCCATGAAGAAAGAAATGGGAAGTACCATTTATCAAGTATCTATTAATATGCCAGGCACTGAAATAGGCACCTTATACATGTTTTCTCCTCCTCCTCCTCCTCCTCCTCCTCCTCTTCCTCTTCTTCTTCTTCTTCTTCTTCTTTTTTTTTTTTTTTTTTTTTTAGATATGGTCTGGCTCTATCGCCCAGGCTGGAGGGCAGTGGTGGGATCTCAGCTCACTGCAACCTCTGCCTCCTGGGATCAAGCCATCCTCCCATTTCAACTTCCCAAGTAGCTGGGACTACAGGCATGCACCATTCACTCAGTTAATTTTTGCATTTTTTTTTGTAGAGACAGGGTTTCACTATGTTGGTCAGGCTGGTCTTGAACTCGTGAGCTTAAGTGATCTGCCTGCCTTGGCCTCCAAAAGTGCTAGAATTACAGGCGTAAGGCACCGCGCCTGGCCCATATTTTCTTCTTCTTCTTCTTTTTTTAAGAGACGGGGTTTTTCCGTGTTGGTCAAGCTGGTCTCGAACTTCTGACCTCAGGTGATCTGCCTGCCTCGGCCTCCCAAAGTGCTGGGATTACAGTCATGTGAGCCACCTCACCCGGCCTATTTTCTTCTTTAATTAGTTTCCCCATCTTGACCTCTTTCCATCTAGTCCTCACATGATGCCCATAGTGATCATTCCAAAGCACAACTCAGATCATTTTGTTGTCCTTCTGAAAACGGTTTGATGATTTCCTGTTGCCATCAAGATAGCCTAAACCATTTAATTTGCTTCTACAGCCTTTTGTTTTTGTTTCTGAGATAGGGTCTTGCTCTGTTGCCCAGGCTGGAGTATTGTGGCATGATTTTAGCTCACTGCAGCCTCGAATTCCTGGGTTTGAGTGATCCTCCCACCTCAGCCTCCTGAGGAGGTGAGACTACAAATGTGAGGCACTGTTCCTGGCCGGTTTGTTTCTTAATTTTTTTTTTAAGATATAATTCACATACCACAAAATTCCTTCTTTTCAAAGTACACAATTTAATGGTTTTTAGTGTATTAACAGAGTAGCACAACCATTACCACAATCAATTTCAGAACATTATCATCATTCCCAAAAGAAACCCCATACCTGTTAGCAGTCATTTCCCATTCCCCCTGCCCCAGCCCCTCGCTACCAATCTACTTTCTGTTGCTGTGGATTTATGTATTCTGGATTCACATAAATAAATCATACAATATGTAGCCTTTTGTGCCTGGTTTCTTTCATGTTGCAGAATTTTTTTTTTTTTTTTTTTTTTTAAGATGGGGTTTCACCATGATGGCCAGGCTGGTCTTGAACTCCTGACCTCAGGTGATCCACCCACCTCGGCCTCCCGAAGTGCTAGGATTACAGGCCTGAGCCACCACGCCTGGCTAGCAGAATGTTTTTAAGATTCATACATGTATGTGTCTGTGTTTCATTCTTTTTTATTGCTGAATAATATTTCACTGTATGAATGTACTATGTTTTCCTTACCCGTTCATCAGTTGGTGGACATGTAGATTGTTACCGTGCTTTGTTAATGATAATGCTGCTGCGAAAATTCATGTATAAGCCTTTGTGTGAATATATGTTTTCATTCTCTTGAGTATGTACCTAGGAGTGAAATTCCTTGATAATATGGCAACTCTAACATTTTGAAGAACTGTTAAACACTTTTCCAAAGTGGTTGTATCATTTTACAACCCCACCAGCATATATGAGGGTTCTAATTTCTCCACATCCTAGACAACATTTATTTTCCTTAAAAAAAAAAAATTATAGCTGGTCAGGAGTTCAAGGCCAGCCTGGCCAACATAGTGAAACCCCATCTCTACTAAAAATACAAAAAAAATTAGTTGGGCATGGTGGCAGGTGCCTATAATCCCAGCTACTTGGGAGACTGAGGCAGGAGAATCACTTGAACCCGTGAGGCAGAGGTTGCAGTGAGCCAAGATTGCACCTTTGTACTCCAGCCCAGGTGACAGTGAGAGACTCATCTCAAAAAACAAAACAAAACAAAATAAAACAAAATTATAGACATCCTCATGGGTGTGAAGTGGTATTTCATTGTGGTTTTAATTTGATTTCCCTAATGACTGATGATGAAATCTTTTCATGTGCTTATTGACCACTGGTATGTTATCTTTGGAGAAATCCCTTAGCCCTTTTTTTTTTTTTTTTTTTGGAGACAAGAGTTTTTGCTCTTGTTACCCAGGCTGGAGTGCAATGGCGCGATCTCGGCTCACCGCAACCTCTTCCTCCTGGGTTCGGGCAATTCTCCTGCCTCAGCCTCCTGAGTAGCTGGAATTACAGGCACGCACCACCAGGCCCAGCTAATGTTTTGTATTTTTAGTAGAGACGGGGTTTCACCATGTTGACCAGGATGGTCTCAATCTCTTGACCTCATGATCTACCCGCCTCAGCCTCCCAAAGTACTGGGATTACAGGCTTGAGCCACCGTGCCCAGCCGTTAATTTTTTATATGATGTGAGGTAGGGGTCCAAATTAACTCTTTTTTTATTAATTTAACTTTTTCTTTTTTTTTAAGACTAGGTCTTAAAATGAGATCTGAAAAAGTCACTGGGTTTTGACTTTCTCGTCATGACAAGCAGGGAAGAGTTTCAGTAGCATTGTGGATGCAGAAACCAAGGTTAAGGAGTGAATTGCTGATGAGAGAGTAAAGCTTTAGTTACAAACTTTTTTTTTTTTTGAAACAGGGTCTCACTCTTGCCCAGGCTGGAGTGCAATGGCATGATCATGGTTCACAGCAGCCTCGATCTCCTGGGCTCAAGTGATCCTCCTACCTCAGCCTCCTGGGTGGCTGGGACCATAGGCACATGCCACCACAATCGGCTAACTTTTTAATTTTTTGTGGAGACAGGGTTTTGCCATGTTGCCTATGTTGGTCCTGAACTTCTGGCCTCAAGAGATCCTCCTACCTCAGTCTCCTAAGAGAGGCTAGAATTACAGGCATGAACCAGCATACCCAGCCTAGTTACAACCTATTTATGTCCAAGTTTGTTGATGAGGAAAAGAGGGAACTAGATTGGCACTATGAAACAGCTTAAAGAATAGAGCTAAGGGATTCGTTTTATTGTTATCTGTCCATCTGCTACTTGCCTGCACTTCAGATTTTTTTTTTTTTTTTTTTTTTTTTTAGACAGAGTTTCGCTCTTGTTACCCAGGCTGGAGTGCAATGGCGCGATGTCGGCTCACCGCAACCTCCGCCTCCTGGGTTCAGGCAATTCTCCTGCCTCAGGCCTCCTGAGTAGCTGGGATTACAGGCACGTGCCACCATGCCCAGCTAATTTTTTTTTTTGTATTTTTAGTAGAGACGGGGTTTCACCATGTTGAACCAGGATGGTCTCGATCTCTCGACCTCGTGATCCACCTGCCTCGGCCTCCCAAAGTGCTGGGATTACAGGCTTGAGCCACCGCGCCCGGCAGATTTTTTTTTTTTTTTTTTTTTTTTGAGACTCAGGCTTGCTCTGTTGCCCAAGCTGGAGTGCAGTGGTGCAATCTCAGCTCACTGCAACTTCTGCCTCCTGGGTTCAAGCAATTCTCCTGTCTCAGCCTCCCAAGTAGCAGGGATTACAGGCACATGCCATCACACCTGGCTTTTTTTTTTTTTTTTTTTTTTTGGTATTTTTAGTAGAAACAGAGTTTCACCATGTGAGCCAGGCTGGTCTCAAACTCCTGACCTCGGGTGATCCTCCCACCTTGGCCTTCCAAAGTGCTGGGATTATAGGTGTGAGCCACCATGCCCGGCCAAGATTTTGACTTCCAATGAGAGTCCCTTTCGTGGCTTTTTATGATGTCAGTTCTAGGGATTCAGCTGTGGTTTTCCTGCCTGCCTTCCTGTGACCACATACCTCACCCCCACCTCTGCCTATGTGTGGACATAGATGTGCATCCACGTGCATGCACACACATATATGCAGATGCCTTGATTTGGGCTGATCTAGCATCCCAGGTATCTGAAGATTTTAGGAGTGACCAACAACTCATCCCAAATTTGGATAAGTTATATCTGCCCCAGCAAAAGATATTCTACGTGAGCTGTTTGGGTAGAAAGGAAGCAACAAGTCTCCTGACATCTTGGTGGCACCAAAAGACTGACAGTCCGCTCTCTTGGCCCTTAATTCCCTTGTGTCTCCCCTATGCCACTCAAATAGGCTAGAACAAAATGGCTTTAAGATTTTAATTTTTCATCCCCCTACTGATTTGTCTTCAGCATTGATCCACTTGCTGCTAATTGGCATTTTTCTCCCAGAGGTAGATATGCCTGATTATGAGTCCCCCAGCCTGACCAGCTTTCACCACCAGCCTCACACAGCTCACGTGGTACCCCATACCTTTCAGAAGTATCTCTTGATCCATCTGCCCCTCCGAAAGATGTCCCAGCAAGGCGAAGCTGGTGCAGTGCTGAGGCATCCCCTCAGGTTCGTAGCCCAGCTCCACCTGCCCCTTCTCCAGGGCATACCTCCCATCCACAATGGAGCCCGTCATCACTTGCACCCTGCTCAGGTTTGCTGGATGGTTCAGAACCACTGTCAGGTGGTTTCCTATACTAATGTTGTGTGTCCAAAAGAATGACTCATCCAGAGTGTAGGCCTCCCAGGGGAAATGCACATTGGAAACCTGCATATCAGTGAAGACAGCTGCAGGTGGGTTATCGGGACCAATGGCGTTCATTTTCCGAAGTCCTGTGGCCTTCTGCTTGTGATCAAAGGCAGCGTAGGAGACCCTGCGGTAGAAGAGGAAAGGTCTGCAGAGGACTGGGCTTTCCTGGACCAGGAGGGTACGGAAATGAGAAATCAGGCTGTCGAGGGGTTTCTCCTTGTAGAAGAGGAGGAGGAAATGGGCCAGGAGTGGGAGGTCCCTGCTGTGGAAGAGTTTGCCAAGGAAGCCCATATTGGAGAACTCCAGTAGCACCCATGGGTTGGACTTCATGGTGGCCACCCTTGAATAAATGTGGGTGACAAAGTTGGGGGCAATAAAGACATTGTCCTCTATTAACAGGAAGTAATCAGAGAGCGTTGTGGCAAAGCTCATGAGGAAGGCGTGATCTATGTTCTGCTTGGAGTAGAATTCTCCATGAAAGGCCTCATCCCTGATGCTGTCCACAGTCGGGTAGGCATCAGATGGGGCATGGATCAGTAGCAACTGCCCTTCCAAGATCTGTGGGCTGAAGAGGCTTGAAATATGGGCAACGGTTTCTCTGAGCCAGGTGAGATCAGAGTCTGCCAGGTGGACCAGCACCGTGAGACGTTTCTGCTCAGCCTTAGAAGAAACACGGAACAGGGAGACCAGTGTGTACAAGAGGCTGCTTCCATCTCCTTGCTGCACTGAGGAGATCCCCACAGTCAGCCATCCTAAGGAGAGGTAAAATCGGGGCGACTGTCAGCGTACAGGAATAGTGACGGTTGTCAGAAGGGTTAGGGGTTGGGAGGATGTGGGACTTTCACTCTTCCTTTCTTTCCTCTCATTTCCCACCTGTTTTTCCCTTTGGCAGAGAGGATGCTTACATCCTTGCTACTCCAAGTGTGGTCCTTAGTCCAGCAACATCAGGCTCCTCTGTAAGCTCATTACAAATACAGAATCTTGACCCCTACCTCAGATTTAATCAGAAGCTGCATTTTCACAATATCACCAGGTAACTTGCATGCACAGTAAAGTTTGAGAAGTATGAAGCTAGGTGATGCTGAGTCTCTGTGGGTTCTGCTGAGTCTTCTTTGAGCCTAGAACTTTGTGGCATATGGTTTAGGGGTTCAATAAATATTAGCTATTATAGTCATTATGATTGTTGTCAATTATATTATTGTTGTCAATTGTCATCTTCCCAAATCTGTCCTTTGAAGAAGGTATATTAGGAAAAGGACTTCCCAGCTGGGAGCGGTGGCTAACACCTGTAATCCCAGCAGTTTGGGAGGTCAAGGCGGGAGGATCGCCTAAGGTTGGGAGTTCAAGACCAGCGTCGCCAACACGGAGAAACCCCGTCTCTACTAAAAATACAAAATTAGCCGGGCGTGGTGGCACACACCTGTAATCCCAGCTACTTGGGAGGCTGAGGCAGAAGAATAGCTTGAACCCAGGAGGCAGAGGTTGTGGTGAGCTGAGATCACACCATTGCACTCCAGCCTGGGCAACAAGAGCAAAACTCCATCTCAAAAAAAAAAAAAGGAAAAGGATTTCCCTTAGAAGTCAGGAGCCGAGGCCAGGCACAGTGGCTCACGCCTGTAATTCCAGCACTTTGGGAGGCTGAGGCGGGTGAATCACGAGGTCAAGAGATCGAAACCATCCTGGTCAACATGGTGAAACCCCATGTCTACTAAATATTCAAAAATATTAGCTGGGCATGGTGGCGCATGCCTGTAGTCCCAACTACTCGGGAGGCTGAGGCAGGAGAATTGCTTGAACCCGGGAGGCAGAGATTGCGGTGAGCCAAGATCACGCCATTGCACTCCAGCCTGGGCAACAAGAGCAAAACTCCATCTCAAAAAAAAAAAAAAGGAAAAGGATTTCCCTTAGAAGTCAGGAGCCCAGGCCAGGCACAGTGGCTCACGCCTGTAATTCCAGCACTTTGGGAGGCTGAGGCGGGTGAATCACGAGGTCAAGAGATCGAGACCATCCTGGTCAACATGGTGAAACCCCATCTCTACTAAATATTCAAAAATATTAGCTGGGCATGGTGGCGCATGCCTGTAGTCCCAACTACTCGGGAGGCTGAGGCAGGAGAATTGCTTGAACCCGGGAGGCAGAGATTGCGGTGAGCCAAGATCACGCCATTGCACTCCAGCCTGGGTAACAAGAGCGAAACTCCATCTCAAAAAAAAAAAAAAAAAAAAAAAAAAAAGGCTGGGCATGGTGACTCAAGCCTGTAATCCCAGCACTTTGGGAGGCCGAGGCAGGTGGATCACGAGGTCAAGAGATCGAGACCATCCTGGTCAACTTGGTGAAACCCCGTCTCTACTAAAAATACAAAACATTAGCTGGGCATGGTGGCGCTGTAATCCCAGCTACTCAGGAGGCCGAGGCAGGAGAATTGCCTGAACCCGGGAGGCGGAGGTTGCGGTGAGCCGAGATCGCGCCATTGCACTCCAGCCTGGGTAACAAGAGCGAAACTCTGTCTCAAAAAAAAAAAAAAGAAGTCAGGAGCCCAGAGTTTTTGTCCCAGTTCTGCTGATTGTGTGATCTTGAGCAAATCCCTTCAGCCCTGAGTTTAGTTCCTGATCCATAAACTGGGGGAGTTGGACTATGTGACTCTGAGACCCCCGCTAATCCAAATGTTCTCTAGCCTAGTGAGTCCACCTTCCTATAGCAATTAACTTTAGTAACTTGCCAAGAAGGGAAAAAAGAAAAGTGGTAGCTAACTAACTTTCTTCTCCTTCCTCCTCATATTGCTGATATATAAATGTTGCCATGGGGAAGGAGGAGAAAATTGTCTGCCAGAATCTAATATTCCTAGGCACAAATCTGTCTTCTTCCTTCCCTCTTCTGCTTTCCTTCCTATCTGGCTGATCTCTCTTTCTGTCCCTACTTCCGCTGGGGTACGAATTCTTCCCTCTTGTTGGTACTCACTCTTTCTTCTCTTCTGGATTTTTTCCATATATTTGAAGGTGAGGTTCTGCCAATCTTCTAGTGGTCTTGGGTCCTTCCTGCTGTTATAACTGGCCTCCTGGAGCATTGACAAGGGCAAACATATATATCATTTCATAAAAAGAACAAAGTTTATACCCCAGTGGCTTCCCATAAGCTTTTCTGGGGAAAGTGGAGTGAACCATTTTCCCTAGAGTGAGCCCAGCACATTCTCAGGATGCTTGGCCATTGGCTAAAATATCCAGGGCTCAAGCAGTATTTGCTGTCTTCTTCGTCTTAACGAATGTGGAGAACTAATAGACCTGGATCCATACCCCCATTCCCTTTGGAGCTTCCTGCTCTCAGGTTAAAAGGTACAGGAGGAAGGAAAGCCCAGGGTCTTTCAAGAATCTGCCTGTCCACACCATTTCCACCCTACGTTCCCAGTTCCCAAACTGAGGAAGCTCAAGGCTTGCTACTTGGCCTTTGATAGTCATCACATTTTGATCGTCTTCAGTTTCCTTGGGGATTTTCAAAGTGATGAAGGGCCACAGGAATACAATGCCCACTGAGAGTATGAAGCATTTCCTGATGGAACACCGCATCGCGTCTGTGCCAGGACACTGTTCCTATAGCAAGAAGTCAACAGGCAGAGCTTGAGGACTCTCTTCTTCCCATCCATGCCTAGAACCTCCCTTCTGTCCTCTGGAAGGTTTCCCCACTTGTATTAACCACCCTCTGCCTGCGCTCATATTCTGTCTTTCCTCATTGTTAACTTCTTTCCTGGATTTCGGCCCACTACAGCCTCCACCTCCCAGATTCAAGTGATTCTCCTGCCTCAGCCTCCTGAGTAGCTGGGATTACAGGCACGTGCTACTGTGCCTGGCTAATTTTTGTATTTTTAGTACAGATGGGGTTTCACCATGTTGGCCTGGCTGGTCTTGAACTCCTGACCTCAAGTGATCCACCCACCTCCACCTCCCAAAGTGCTAGGCATGAGCCACCGAATCGGAGCACACCCTTTTATCTGATCTACGAACCTGATACAATAGAGCCTTATTCCTTGCCTAAAGAAGGAAGGTCATTTGTCCTGTGACAATATTTGTTGCATTCACTTCATATCCTTAGCGATTCAATTTCAGAATGATGAGGGAGGATTGGCTGAGGCTTTAGTGATACAGTTTATCTGAGTAAACAGATGGCCATTGTACCCTCCTTACCCCCACTTTTTAATTTTATTTTTGAGACAAGGTCTCGCTCTGTTGCCCAGACTGAAGTGCAGTGGCATGATCATGACTCACTGCAGCCTTGACCTCTCTGGCTCAAACAACGATCCTCCCACCTCAGCCTCCCAAGTAGCTGGGACCACAGATGTACACCACCAGCTAACTAATTTTTTTTTTTTTTTTTTTTTTTTTTTTGTAGAGATAGGCTCTACCTGTGTTGCCCAGGCTCATCTTGAACTCCTGGCTTACATGATCCTCCTGTCTCAGACTCTGAAAGTGCTGGGATTACAGGCGTGAGCCGCTACACCCTGCCTCCCACACTTTTTAAAACAAAAGTCAAGCTATTAAAACAACTAACCCTGAGTGTTGCTAAGTGCTATGCCAAATTGCTGTCTTTGTCACTTTTTTTTAATGAAGAGTATCCTTAATTTATTCCAGTCTTTTTTTTTTTTTCTGCCGCCACCCTCTTCCTCTTATTCCAGTCTTTATTCACAGACCTTGATTAGAATATGATTCTGTTAACTTAGAGTAAAAAAAAAAATCCTTTCCTGTGTGTTGGTTTATTGGAATTCAGGCTGGCTCAGCCTCAGAAGTGCTTGTATGCTGCTCTCTTCCTCTGTGAGTGTCTTTTCTCTGGTGAGATGTGTTTCTCTGATTGCTTTGAGATTATCAGAGGAAAGGCTTTAATATGCCTTCTCACCTCTTCTTGATTCTTTCCCTGTGTGATCAGCACACAAAAGAAAAACTGTAGTCAGTGATTTCTATGCTCCTGAGGCCATACTATTCTCTAATCTCCCCCATTTCCAGGGACGCCTTCAACTTTAGTATTTTGGTAGAGGTTAACATACTTCTCTCCCTTAGTCGCTTCACTTTGTGATGAGTTATAAAAGTAGGCTGGGCATAGTGGCTCACGTCTGGAATCCCAGCTCTTTGGGAGGCTGAGGCAGGAGGATCTCTTGAGCCTAGGAGTTCCAAGACTAGTCTGGGCAACATAGGGAGACCTCCATCTCTATTTAGGAAAATAATAATAATAATAATAATACTTATATCTCCAGGTAATCACAGGGGTGAGGAAATCTTTTTTATTTTTTAGGCAGAATTTCACTCTTGCTGCCCAGGCTGGAGTGCAATGGGGCAATCTCAGCTCACTGCAACCTGTGTCTCCCGGGTTGAAGAGATTCTCCTGCCTCAGCCTCCCAAGTAGCTCGTATTACAGGCACGTGCCACAACGACTGGCCATTTTTTTTGTATTTTTAGTAGAGACAGGGTTTCTCCATGTTGTTCAGACTGATCTCGAACTCCTGACGTCAGGTGATCTGTCCACCTCAGCCTCCCAAAGTGCTGGGATTATAGGCGTGTGCCACCATGCAAGGCTAAAAAATAAATCTTGTGTGTATTGGAACCAAATCATTCAAAAAAAATAATAAATCTTTTTTTTTTTTTTTTTTTAAAGACATGGTTTCACCATGTTGGTCAGGCTGGTCTTGAACTCCCAACCTCAGGTGATCCACCCACTTTGGCCTCCAAAGTGCTTGGATTACAGGTGTGAGCCACCACACCCAGCAAAAATAAATCTCATAGTAGTTAAGTCTTCACAGATTAAAGTTTTCTCTCTTGACTTCCTTAAACAAAGAATTTTAGTCCCATAGGTGATTAACATATCAACCTCTTCATGTAAAAAAAAATAGACCTCTAGGCTGGGCGTGGTGGCTCAAGCCTGTAATCCCAGCACTTTGGGAGGCTGAGGCGGGTGGATCACGAGGTCAAGAGATCGAGACCCTCCTGGTCTACATGGTGAAACCCCGTCTCTACTAAAAATACAAAAAATTAGCTGGGCATGGTGGCACGTGCCTGTAATCCCAGCTACTCAGGAGGCTGAGGCAGGAGAATTGCCTGAACCCGGGAGGCGGAGGAAAAAAATAGACCTCTCTTCTCTAGACCATAAATATATATATATATATATATATATATATATATATATATATATATATATACACACACACACCCCGAACAAAAGGGCTGTAGGGCCAAACATGGCTCATACCTGTAGTCCTAGCAATACAGGGAGTGTTGGGAGGCCAAGGTGGGCGGATCACCTGAGGTCAGGAGTTCAAGACCAGCTTGGCCAATATGGTTAAACCCCTTCTCTACTAAAAATACAAAATTTAGCCAGGCATGGTGGCATGTGCCTGTAGTCCCAGCTACTCGGGAGGCTGAGGCAGGAGAATCACTTGAACTTGGGAGGCAGAGGTTGCAGTGAGCCAAGATTGTGCCACTGTACTCCAGCCTGGGCAACAGAGCGAGATTCTGCTTCAGGAAAAAAAAAAAGGAGGGGTGGGCTTTAGGGTCAGGCAAGGTGGGACTGGGATAAAAATCACCCAGTGGAAGTGTGTAGGCACTCAGGCCTGTAATCCCAGCATTTCGGGAGGCCGGAGTAGGAGGATCACTTGAGGCCAGGAGTTGGAGACCAGCCTGGGCAACATAGGGAGACCCCGTCTCTACAAAAAATAAAATTAGCTAGGCGTGGTGGCAACATGGCTGAAGTCCCAGCTACTCAGGAGGCTGAGGTGGGAAGATCGCCGAGGCTGCAGTGAGCTGAGATTGTGCCACTGAACTCCATCCAGCCTAGGCAACAATGAAAACCTCTCTCTCTCTCTCTCTCTCTCCCCCCTCTCTCTTTCTTCCCATCTCTCTCCCCCCCTCCCCCTGTCTCTCTCTCTCTCTCTCTCTCTCTCTCTCTCGCTCTGTCTCTCTCTCTCTCTCTCTCAAAAAAAAAAAAAAAAAAAAAAAGGCTTTAGGCAGGGAATAATGTTCTAACTGCAGTTAAAGGGTTTCGCCACCACAGGCATAGCTCTGCTCCCTTTTTGTACCTCCCGTGTAGGTTCCCAGTCACAGAGGCAAGACTGCTCTCAATGAGCTCTCCGAGTTCCACAGACTTCTGGAAGAGGCAGGAGACAGAGCGGGAAGAAAAGGGAGCTGGGGTGATAAGGACCAGTCACTCCAGGGCTAATGAACACAGGGTGAGGCCAGGCATAGCAAACAGAGGTCTCCCCAGTTTTCTCCCCTTGAACTAAGCTCTCTCTGTGATGTTACTGTTGTGTGCTACCCACCTACTCCCCATTGTCAGAGGAACGCACGTGCAGGACTTGCATGTGACCAGTGTGTGCTTCATCAGTGGGAGCTATGACTCCTACTTCATCCTAAAGCCCAGCATCAGCATCTCTTCAGATACTGCGCACTGCCCTCCCCACCCCACCATGTCCCCTCCTTCCTTACGTCTCTCCTGCATTCTTTCCTTCCCTCTGTTGGTTCCACTGGTGCTGAGGTTCTGATTCCTTCTTCCTCTCGCCTTCCTAAGTTCTTCACCCCTGCAGTTATCCTCTTTCTCTTCTGCATGATCTGTTTCTCCCTTTCTACTGGATGATTCTCATCACTAGGAAAAGGAGCTTTATTATCTCCCAGTGGGTGGGAAGAAAGGCAAACAGCAAAATGCCTCCCGGAATTTGTGTTCTCTTCCAGTTCTGTGCGATTTCTCTCCAACTGCACACAGCCAAGCCCCTTGAAAGTGCTGTCTTTGCTAATTAACCCCACTTCATTTCACGTTCTCTCTCCTCATCTTACTCAGCCTCTCTGTAACGTTGACTGGGTTGACTGTTGTCGCCTCCTTGAAAGACTTTCTGCTCTGGCATATCTCTCTTGCCACACTGACGGCGCCCTCTCAGTTTCCTTTCCTGGCTCATTCTCTTTCCAACCTGTAGATGTAGGAGTGTGATGGGGCTCTCTTTTCTTCCTACACACTTTCCCTGGGGGATTTTATCCCAGTCCCATGGCTTTAAGTTATACACACACACACACACACACACACACACGCACGCACACAGATGCACATAGGTGAATGAATGTGTGTATGTATGTATCAGATAACCCCCAAATCTTATCTCTAGTTCTGATTCTTTATTGTTGTTGTTGAGATGGGGTCTTGATCTTGTCGCCCAGGCTGGAGTGCAATGGCGCCATCTCGCCTCACCGCAACCTCCACCTCCCAGGTTCAAGCAATTCTCCTACCTTAGCCTCTAGAGCAGCTGGGATTATAGGCATGAACCACCACGCGCGGCTAATTTGGCATTTTTAGTAGAGATGGGGTTTCTCCATGTTGGTCAGGCTGGTCTCGAACTGACCTCAGGTGATCCGCTCCACCTCCCCAGCTCTCTAGCCCTGATTCTTGTCTTGCTCCCTATCCCAAGCTCCAGATTACCTGACTATTCAACATCTCCAATTGGATGATAAGTTATCTCAACTTTAACAGAACCAAAATAAAACTACAGATTCCTCCTACCTTCCAAATTATTTCCTCTCTAAGGTTTTGTGGGTTTTTTTTTCCTTTTTTCTTTCTTTCTTTCTTTTTTTTTTTTTTTTTTTTTTTTTTGAAATGGAGTATCATTCTGTTGCCCAGGCTGGACTGCAATGGCACGATCTCGGCTCACTGCAACGTCCACCTCCCGGGTTCAAGCAACTCTCCTGCCTCAGCCTCCTGAGTAACTGGGATTACAGGTGTGCATCACCATGCCTGGCTAATTTTTGTATTTTTAGTAGAGATGGTGTTTCACCATGTTGGCCAAGATGGTCTCAAACTCCTAACCTCAGGTGATCTGCCCTCGGAGGCCTCCCAAAGTGCTGGGATTATAGGCGTGAACCACCACTCCCAGCCTCTCAGCATTTATTTCTACCAGAAGCTAACTTACTTCTTTGTGTGTTTACTGTCTGTCTCCATCCACTGGATTAAAATGTAAGTCCTTAAAGGGCAGGGGCTTGGTTAGATTCAGTGCTGTATCCACAGCACTTTGCTTAAAACCTGCTCCAGGCTGGGCGTGGTGGCTCAAGCCTGTAATCCCAGCACTTTGGGAGGCCGAGGCGGGTGGATCACAAGGTCAAGAGATGGAGACCATTCTGGTCAACATGGTGAAACCCCGGCTCTACTAAAAATACAAAAAAGTAGCTGGGCATGGTGGCGCGCGCCTGTAATCCCAGCTACTCAGGAGGCTGAGGCAGGAGAATTGCCTGAACCCAGGAGGCGGAGGTTGCGGTGAGCTGAGATCGCGCCATTGCACTCCAGCCTGGGTAACAAGAGCAAAACTCCGTCTCAAAAAAAAAAAAAAAAAAAAAAAAACCTGCTCCAGAAAGCATGCTAAACAAGTATTTATTAACTTTCCAATTATAGGGATTAGATGCTAATGGTGAATGGTCATTTTTCTTCAACAAACACTATGCTAGGTGCTAGGGGCATGGCCGTGTCAGGGGGACTGGGCATTACTCCAGAGAAGGGCAGTATATGGGTGGTGGTGAAGTGCTCGGGCAGTGGGACTCAGACAGCCAGAGCTTGAATCTGGTTCTGCAAGACTTGTTGTCCACGTGACCGTGGGCAAGTGACTCAGCCTCTCTGAACCCCAGATCCTCATCTATAAAATGGAGATGAAAACAATGGCTACCCAGGACAGGGCTGGGCTAACAATAAATAAATAAAAAATAAATGGTGGCTACTGTCAAGAGTTTTTATGAGGATCAAAAGAGATCATCCTATATAAATAGTTATTATTTTTCTTTCTTTTATCTATATCCCAAGGTAGTACCTAAGGAATACTTATTATTTTTTAAAAAAGAGACTATTCACATAAACATACTTGGCATATAGCAAGCACTCAATAAATGTTAGCTTTTGACTGGGTGCAGTCACTCACGCCTGTAATCCTAGCACTTTGAGGCGAGCAGATCACCTGAGGTTGGGAGTTCAAGACGAGCCTGACCAACACAGAGACACCCCGTCTCTACTAAAAATATAAAAAAATTGGCCAGGCGTGGTGGCACATGCCTGTAATCCCAGCTACTCAGGAGGCTGAGGCAGGAGAAATGCTCGAACCTGGGAGATGGTGCTTGCAGTGAGCTGAGATCCTGCCATTGCACTCCATCCTGTGCAACAAGAACAAAACTGCCTCAAAAAAAAAAAAAAAAAAAGTCTTTTCTGTAAGAAATGACTACAATTTTCTTTTTTTTTTTTTTTTTTTTGAGACGGAGTTTCGCTCTTGTTACCCAGGCTGGAGTGCAATGGCGCGATCTCGGCTCACCGCAACCTCCGCCTCCTGGGTTCAGGCAATTCTCCTGCCTCAGCCTCCTAAGTAGCTGGGATTACAGGCACGTGCCACCATGCCCAGCTAATTTTTTGTATCTTTAGTAGAGACGGGGTTTCACCATGTTGACCAGGATGGTCTCGATCTCTCGACCTTGTGATCCACCCGCCTCGGCCTCCCAAAGTGCTGGGATTACAGGCTTGAGCCACCGCGCCCGGCCTAATGACTACAATTTTCAACCACGGAGACCAGCTCTGCTTGCTTTGCCATCATGCCGGAGGGGTCCATCTTCCCTTATTTCTAAATCATCATCTCAATTTTTTTCTTTTAGATTCTCACACGGATGAACAACACTCTGAGAACCTTTCTGTGTCTTGCCACCTGATTCCCACTTTTCTAAGGGATTTAGAAGAGGCAAAAAATAGAGAAGGAGAAATAAATATTAAAAAGCCCTGACAGCCACCCAGGTTCCTCATCCACTTGCAGTTAGGAGCGGCCATCCATGACAGTGTGCCTGCCGCCAGTGTGTGTTCTAGGAGAGGGCTCTGCGCTTTGCTGGAATTCAGAGTTCTCCTTTATGCCTAAGGACATGAACTAGACCCACAGGGTAGGGATGGGGCAGGAGCTCACCTCCATTCCAGCATTTCTCTCTGGGTGGCTTGGCTAATGCTCCCTTGGCAACCATTGTTGTTTCTGAAGGGCAAGAATCTCATCACCCCACTAGTCTCTTCAGGCAGGTGGAGAAGGGGCGAGGCCACAGGCATGTGTGATTGGCCCACAGAGTTTCTTTAAAATCTGAGGAAAGGGCTGGGTGCAGTGGTTCATGCCTGTAATCCCAGCACTTTGGGAGGCCCAGGCAGGTGGATCATGAGGTAAAGAGATCGAGACCATCCTGGCCAACACGGTGAAACCCTATCTCTACTAAAAATACGAAAATTAGCCGGGTGTGGTCCCACACGCCTGTAGTCCCAGCTACTCAGGAGGCTGAGACAGGAGAATCACTCTAGGATGGCGACAGAGCGAGACTTCGTCTCAAACAAAAAAAAAAGATCTGATGCAAGATTGAACATTTAAGAATTGGGAGAGCTGGACAGGTGTGGTGGCTCATGCCTGTAATTCCAGCACTTTGGGAGGCCGAGGTCGGCAGATCACTTGAGGCCAGGAGTTCAAGACCAGCCTGGCCAACATGGCAAAACCCCATCTCTACTAAAAATGCAAAAATTAGACAGGCATGGTAGCACATGCCTATAATCCAACTGCTTGGAAGGCCAAGGTAGGAGAATTGTTTGAGCCTGGTGGAGGTTACAGTGAGACATGATCATGCCACTGCACTCCAGCCTGGGCAACAGAGGGAGACCCTTTCTCAAAAAAAAAAATAAATAAATAAAATACTCCAAGAATGTTACGAAGAAAAATAAGAAATAAAAGAAATGTTAAAAAAAAAAAAAAAGAAGGCTGGGAGAGCTTACATAAAAGCCTAAATAGCCGGGCGCAGTGGCTCAAGCCTGTAATTCCAGCACTTTGGGAGGCCGAGGCGGGTGGATCACCAGGTCAAGAGATCGAGACCATCCTGGTCAACATGGTGAAACCCCATCTCTACTAAAAATACAAAAAATTAGCTGGGCATGGTGGCGCGTGCCTGTAATCCCAGCTACTCAGGAGGCTGAGGCAGGAGAATTGCCTGAACCCAGGAGGCGGAGGTTGCAGTGAGCCGAGATCGCGCCATTGCACTCCAGCCTGGGTAACAAGAGCGAAACTCCGTCTCAAAAGAAAAAAAGCCTAAATAACTGGCTTCTCTTGAAAAATAGAAACTTGCCGCAACCCTGGTATGAGTAGTGATGGTCCACAGTAGCTGGACTTGCATCCTCACCTCTCCAGA